TGGGTGTGCATTGCCCTTACCTGCTGGGGAGACAATTACCAGCCAGCAAAGCGGGGTTCCGGGCATCCCAGGAAATGCAGATTCCGGTTCCTTGCTGTTCCCATAAGAGCCACACATCTCCATGCGGTCGTTACGGCACTCGGGAGTGCCGCAGCCTGCTGCCACCTGTGGGACACAACGCAGTAATGAAGGCACTGCCCTGCAGATGTGCCTCTTTCACAAACCTGCACTCCTTTCTCTGATCAACGTGGCTGCGCTCTGCGCACGATGCTGCTTACCAGCAGCACTGAGCTGGGAACAACAGACAAGGAGAAGGCTGGCTGAGATACCCAACAACATCCATCTTCCATCTTCTCTGATAACTGCTCATTATACACTGCCCTCACCTTTGGTTTGGTAGGTGGGGATTGAGGAAGCAATGCTGGTCCCACAGACCCCTCCCTATCCCACACTGTGATGGGAGATCAGGTTCTGGACCACCTGAGGACCCGAGCATCCAGGAGTCTTTGGGTCCTGATGAGACGAGTCCCAGAGCTCTGAGGGAATTCAGTGCTGCAGTCACCGAGCCACTCTCAGTGGTATTTCAGAAGTCGAGGCAGTCAGGTGAAGTCCCTGGTGAGCAGAAAAAAAGGTGACAGCACAGCTGTTACTGCAGATATAAAGTGTGACCCTGGGAACTGCCAACATGTCAGTCTCACCTCTGTGCTGCAAAAAGTCATGGAGCAGATCCTCCTGGAAGGGACTCTGAGGCACGTTCCAGTGTGTCACCACCCTCTGTATGAAAAGCTTCCTCCTAATAACCAACCTAAACCTCTCCTGTCTCAGTTTAAAACCATTCCCCCTTGTCCTATCACGATCCACCCTTGTAAACAGCCGTTCCCCTTCCTGCTGTTCCCCCCTTCAAGTACTGGAAAGCTGCAACGAGGTCTCCCCCAAGCCTTCTTTTCTCCAGGCTGAACAAGCCCACTTCCCTCAACCTTTCCTTGTAGGAGAGCTGCTCCAACCATCTGCTCATCTCAGTGCCTCCTCTGGACCCGCTCCGTGAGCTCCACGTCCTTCCTGTGCTGGGGGCCCCAGGCCTGGATGCAGCACTGCAGATGGGGCCTCACAAGAGCAGAGCAGATGGGGACGATCACCTCCCTCTCCCTGCTGGCCGCTCCTCTTTTAATGCAGCCCAGAACACAGCTGGCCTTCCAGGCTGCAAGCCCGCTCTGCTGGCTGACGTCCAGCTTCTCACCCACAAGGATCCACAAGCCCTTCTCTGTGGGGCTGCTCTCAAGGTGTTCTTTGCTGAGTTTGCACAAATATCTGGGATTGCCCCTTCATCAGTGACATTGACAGTGGGGTGGAGTGCACCCTAATGACACCAAGCTGTGGGGTGCGGTGACACACCAGAGGGACGGGATGCCATCCAGAGGGACCTCAACAGGCTGAGTAGTGGCACTCAGCAATGCGCCTTCCAGCCCAGAAAGCCAACCGTATGCTGGGCTCCATCCAAAGACGTGCGGTCAGCAGGCGAAGGGAGGCGGTCCTGCCCCTCTGCTCTGCGCTGGGAGGCCTCACCTGGAGGTGCTGTGTGTGGATGTGGATGCCTGCAGTGCAGGACAGACATGGAGCTGTTGGAGCACATCCAGAGAATGGCCACAGATATGAACCAAGGGATGGAATGCCTTTCCTATAAAGACAGAGAGCTGGAGCTGTTCAGCCTGCAGAAGTGAAGGCTCCGAGGTGATCTGGTAACAGCCTTTCAACACCTGAAGGGAAGAACAAGGAAAGATTTAGCCTAGATATGAAGAAAATCTTGTACAGTGATGGTGGTGACACAGCAGAACAGATTACCCAGACATGATGGATGCCCTGTCCCTTCCAAGGTGAGGCTGGGTCAGGCTCTGGGCACTGATCTGGCTGTGGATGTTCCTGTTCGTTGTGTGGCAGTTGGACGAGATCACCACCAATGGTACCAAGTACTCCAGCTGGGATAATCCACATCCATCAGAGCCTCTCTGGGCCAGTCCCAGTATTCAGCAGAGCAGGGGCTTCACTTCATCACACTGTTGGGAACCAGAGCTGCAGAGCATTGAATGCAGGTCAGGGGGTGGGAGGAAGAGGAATTGGGGTTTGGGTGTCGTACAGATTAGGAAACTAACAGCATCTCCAGACAATTAGGATGGAGATATCTGGGGTGATGCTGAGTACAGCGGTCCAGAAGAGGACAAACCTTGGCTTCCTATAAAGATGAAGACTTATTACACCTAACGGTGCACAGAATGCCCTTAAACAACTCTGCACGGTTGGAAGCAGTGCATAACAGCCCTGAAATAAAGGAAGAAGAAGTTACTCCATTCCGAAGATGAACACTCAGCCCACACTGCCAGGGAAGCAGTCTCCAGGTAGAGATGCTGCCCTTATGGCTTCCACCCCTTAAATGTGGTCAGGATACTGAATTATAATAATAAAAAAAAAAAAAAAAAGAAAAAATGGAGATTGCAGCCTGAAATAAAGAAAAAACAAAGAAACCACTTACACCCTTCTCAAAGGCCAAAACTCACCCATGCTCCACAGGAGACAGCCTCCAGAGATCAATGCTGCCCTTACATCTACCAGCACTCAAATGTGGTCAGGATGCCCCAAAAACAGGAAAGATCACAGCCCTAAAACAAGAAGGAATCACTCATCCTTTCGCAAGGACCAGCCCTCACCCCACACTCCCAAGGAGACAGTCTCTAAAGACAGATACCACCTTAAAGGCTGCCAGCCCTTAAGCGGGGTCAGGATCCTCCCAAAAACAAGATATTGCAACCCTGGAATAAAGACTCACTCACCCCGTTTCAAGGGTTCACCCCACACTCTAAAGGAAGCAGCCTCCAGGTGCAGTTGCTGCTCCTTCTGCTGACAGACCTTAAATGTGGTCAGCAGCTCCCAGAAAGTGAAATTACAATCCAGCAATACAGAAAAAACCAATGACCCCATTCCAAAAACAAACACTCAGCCCACACCCCAAAGGAAGCAGCCTCCATGCAGAGATGCTGCCCTTACAGCTTCCAGCCCTTAAAAGCAGTCAGGATCCCCAAAACCAGAAAGACCAGAGCCCTGCAATAAAGCACCAATCACTCACCCCATTCCAACGAGCAGAACTCGCTCCCAATGCTCCCATGGAGGCAGTTCCCAAGCAGAATGCTGCCCTGGCTGTTCTCAGCCCTTAAATGTGGTCAGGAGCCCACAGAAAGTGAAATTACAATCCAGCAATAAAGAAGAAATCAATGACCCCACTCCAAAAACAAACACTCAGCCCACACCCCAGAGGAAGCAGCCTCCATGCAGAGATGCTGCCCTTACAGCTTCCAGCCCTTAAAAGTTGCCAGGATCCCTAAAAAGCAAAAGACCAGAGCCCTACAACACAGCATCAATCACTCACCCCCTTCCAACGAGCAGAACTGGCTCCCAACGCTCCCCACAAGGCAGTTCCCAAGCAGAATGCTGCCCTGGCTGTTCCCAGCCCTTAAATATGGGCAGGGAGGGGGTGGAGCCAAGCTCAGCCCTATCCGGTCCCACAGGTAAATTGCTTCCACCTGTGCTGGCAGGGCTGGCCACACCCCTCACCAGGTGCTCAATCACTGCTTCAGGCTGTAAACAACAACAACAAAAGACTAATTACAAGCAGGTGATTGGATCTGCCTGTCCGGCAAGGGGAGTTTGATCAAAGGATGAGCAACAGTGGCATGCATATTTTGATTCAAGTCTGTCCTCAAAGGCATTCGGTAAAATTTCTAATAGATAGGGGAGCACAAATTTCACTACTGATACAGCAAGATGCTGAAAAGCTGTGTGTGCAGCCTGGACGGCAAAGAGTTGAGATTACCAGTGTGATCGTGGCAAGCACTGTTTGCCAAACTAGTGGGGACAGCTTATGGCTCTCCAGTGAGAAACGTGTCACCTACTTTCTTTGCAATTAAAGACCATTGTGAAAATATTTCAGGATTCGGTGCCCTCAGTGGGTGAGTCTGGCACTTGCACTTGTATGGCAATGTGTGGCTCAAGTATCAATCCCAAATCCCAAAGAAATAGGGAGGCTGCAGTGTGAGTATTTCATGTAGCCCCTGCACTCCTGGAATCAGGAATAACTCACCTATCTGCCCAGTTTGGAAACCAGGTGGAAAGTGGTGATTAACAATTGATAATTAGTGCCTGAATGGTCATAAAGCTCCTCTAGGAGCTGCTGTCCCAAACACTGCTGACTTAACAGCTACTTGGCAAGCAGCCATGTGTCGGCTTATTCCCGTGGAACCCAGTGCCCTCTGTGTGCCCCAGAACTCTTTCATGGCCACACGATGGGCTCTAGAGACAACCAGATGTGTTCCAGAGCTATGGAGTGTGCCGTGGGCAGCCCCAGAGACATAATCAAGCCCTCTCCCAGCTTCTCAGCGCACTCTTGGATATGATGGTGATGCAACACAGGGAGGTGTCAGGCAGCGCCAGGAAGTGCCGGTGCCATCGCAGGTGCCGTTCGAGCAGCGCTGTGGGGCAGATGAGCAGTGCCACCTTGAGCTGGTAGTGACGGTGACACCCAGTGTCATGCTGCTGCTGGGCGGCCACAGAACCAATGTAACCGCTGTGCTGATGCTGCACAACCACGGTGAGGTCACACACGGGGCCACCATCACCATCCGACACCCCCTGAGAATGGTGTTCCACAGAGCCAGGGTCTCCATGGTGGGGGCACCTGTCCCCGTGTCCACACAATGTCCCCAGTGTCCCTGTGTCCCTGTGCCTCCACATCCCCCAATGTCCCTTGGGTCCCCACAATGCCTCCCAATGTCCCCACAATGTTTATTTCCATGCTCCCATGTCCCAGTGTTCCCATACCCCCCAACTTCGCGACAGTGTCCTCACATCTCCCATTGTCCTCCCACTGGTGGGGTGACGTTGAGGGTATAGTGGTAATGCTAAATCATGGCTTGAAGCAGTGATGGAGCACCTGGTGAAAAGGCAGGGCCAATCCAGGGGAGCAAAGATGCATGCAATGTTGCTGAGTGATGAAGGGGTGGAGCCAAATCCACCCCTTCCCAACCCTCATTTAAGGGCTGGCAGTGGAAGCATAGGGTTTTTTGTTGTGGGTTCCCGCCAATCTGGGGTCTTTCAGTGTGGAGTAGTTTTGTTTCTGTGCCCATTCATGCTGTGCTGGAGCTGACCTTCATTTGCTGTAACCTGGGGATTGGCTGCTCTGCTGTTGCTGCTGTGCTTTCCAGCTCATTGTGGAGGTGAGGCTGCGGGGGTGACACTGTGGCAATGGCGGGGTATCACTGGGGGGGACGTGATGTGGGGGGCTGATATTGGGGTGATGGGGGGTGGGGATGCTGGGGTCATGTTGGGGAGGGATGCTAGGGTATGATACAGTTAGGGTGACACTGGGGGGAATATCAGGAAGTGACAGTGGAGTGAGGTGGTTGGGGGGCAAGGTTGGTTGCTGAGGGTGAGGTTGGTTGTTAGAGGTGAGGCTGTCAGGGGTTCTCTTCCACTTGGGCTCTGTACCATGCGCTGGCCACACCGCTACAGTGTGCAATGGAACAAATCCTGTAGACCCTAGGAAGAATTAAAGCAGGAGAGAGGCTGCAGTAGGGGTGAAAGGCCAAGTGCCCTTTGAAGCAGGGGACGCCCTGCTGGCACTGCGTATCACATCCACTGCCAGCCTGTTCCTTCTCAATCCTGTCGGCAATTTGCTGTCTCTCAAGGGTCAGAAAGTAATAGTGCGCTTGTTTGGGGAGGTTCTGCTTCTTATTTACGGGGATTATGGTGACACTGGGGTGATACTGAGAAGTGACACCAAGGGGTGACACTATTGGGGTGAAACTGTTCGCTGATGTGGGGGTGATGCTGTTGGGAGGTGGTGCCGGAGGTTGACATTGGGAAGGGATGTTGGAGGGTGATGGAGTATCACTGGCGACATCGGGGAGTGATGCTGAGGGGTGACAACATTAGGAATTATGTTGGGGTATCAGTGGGGTTTAACATCAAGGAGTGATGCTTGAGGGGAGACACTGGAGTGATAGTGGTACAGAGGGAACGTTGTCAAGATGATGTTGGGGTGATAGTAATGACATTAGGCAGTGACAATTGTTGGGGGGTGATGATGTTGGGGCATTGGGGGAGCGTCACTTGTGGGTGACATTGTAGGGGGGGTGGCATGGAATGACAATGGGGTGCCATGAGGCATGACTGTGGGGAATTATGTTGGGTGTCCCTTCAGGGTGACACTGGGATGACACTGGTGTCACGTTGCGGGGTGACATCAAGAAGTGACGCTGGGGGATGACATTCTTGGGGAGTGGCATTGTTGAGGGGTGATGTCAGGGTATCACTACTGTTGATATCAAGGAGTGATGCTGGGGTGATGCTGGCTGGTGACATTTTTGGGATGAATCTGAGGTGATGTTGGGGTATCAGTGGAGTTTAAAAGCAAGGAGTGATGCTGAGTGACATTGTTGGGGTAACACTGGGGTGGGCACACTGGAGTGATGTTGAAAGGACACTGAGTTGACGCCAGGGGGCAGATGCTGCAGAGGTCACATCAGATTGTGATGCTGGGGATTGATACCCTGGTTATGTTGGGGTGTAATGTTGGGGCATCATTGGGGTTGACAGTAGGGACTGTTGCTGTGGTGACGTTGTTGAGGTGACAGTGATGATGTTGGGCTGATGCTAGGGGTGACACTAGGGTGATGGTGGGATGTCACTGAAATTTAACATCAAGGAGTGATGCTGGAATGGGGAATGACATTGTTGGAGCGATGCTGAGGGTTGATACTGCGGTGAGATTGGGGTGGGACACCACTAGTGACTGGCTGCCAACTGGGTTTAACTTCACTGACCACAACTATTACTTGATTTACCCCCTCATCCCACACCTTCTCCCCAAAATACCCCCTCACAGCCCCCATTCCCCCCCTCCTTTCCCCCAAATTCTGTTCCAGGTGCAGATGGCGCTGCCCCCCACCACAAAGCACCATCCATCCCAACCACATTGCCTTCATTCTCCTGCCCTGCACACTTGCCCCCTGGCTTGGTTGTCAAATATCTGTGGGGTGAGTCCCATAGCACTGCCCCACAGCTTCTCAGGGCACCCACTCCCACACTGTAAAGCTGGGCTGGGGAGGGGCTGTTGGCCATCGGGGTTGAAGTGGGGCTGAAGGTCACTATGGGATGTGGGAGTCGATGTAGGGCATGGGGTGCTATGATGGGGTGGGAGTCAATGGAGGCCATGGGGTGCTATGGGGCCGGGAGTAGCTATGGGGCTGCAGGTCACACTCACCTGCCTGCAGAACACTGCCATCACCATGAGGATGTGGAAGCTGCTTGTGCAGCACAACGTTGCTGTATCCTCCACCTCCTGCGAGAATGTGTGGGCCAGCTGAGAACCTAGTTGCCCCAGTCACCACAGTTGGCCCCACATCTCAGCCCTACTCCGTGCACTTGGCCCCACACCCCCCATCTCAGCCCTAAACCTGTCTCCAAATATCAAATCCAGGGCCCAGAGGGATCCCCCGCCCTATAACCTAACACCTGCGCCCCATGCCCCAAATGCCCCAGACCATTCCCGGCACGACACTACGCATGCGCCAGTTCCGGCGCAGCAGTACGCATGCGCCTTTCGTGGCAGACGTGTACGCATGCGCTGTTCTCTTCACAGCGCCACGCAGGCGGTGTTTCCGGCGCACCACCATGCGTTCTGTTCCGCGCATTGGCCACGCCGTGGCAGCAGAGACCGCTGATAGAACTGCGATGGTGGCGACGCGGGCCCGCAACGCAGTCGCCGGCCTTTCCTTCTCTCTTTTGGTGATAGGGGAAGCGCGCGAAGTTAGAAAGGGGGGGGAGGGGAAAGACCTCGGTCGAGGGAGTCCCCTTTACCAGGTCAATAACTGCAGAAGAATTTTGTCTTGCTCTAAACAAAGGCAGGCAGCTGCTGAAGCGCACATTCCTCTCTGGTGTTAGAAACCAGTTTCCTCCTGCTGACTTCACCATTAGTGGCTCTTCTGCACCAGGTTGGATGGAGCCCTGGGCAACCTGGTTTAGTACTAGACCTGGAGGCTGTGGCAGAGGGTTGGAACCTGATGA